TTTTTTATGTCTTTTTTTTTAACCAAAATTCGAAAACTATACAGAGAAGAAAAAAATTGTCTGACACGAGATTAAGTTTTGGTGGTAGGGGATTGTAGTGTGACTGTATACCTTTCCCTTTCGAAACTCTCTCCCAAATATAGCTTCAACCTCTGACCATTCACTTTGAACCTTTGTGACTGCTCCAAATCTGAGATCTCAATTGTGCCAAAGGGGAAGACTTGCTGAACCAGGAATGGTCCTGACCATCCGGATCGAAGCTTACCTAGAAAAAGTCTGAGTCTAGAGTTGAAGAGAAGCACTTGTTGTCCAGGTACAAATTTCTTTAAAGTGATCTTTTTATCATGTCATTTTTTTTCTTTTCTTGTATAATCTTGCATTTTCGTAAGCCTGTAACCTGAATTCGTCTGGTTTGTCCAACTGTAACAATCTTCTCTCACCAACCCTCTTTAGAACCAGTCCTTTCTCGTTGATCTTACTACTTTTTTTCAAAAAAAATTTTAATTCTCTATTAGTATGGTGTAACTACTTTGTGCTTTACCCCATATTTCCCTAAGAGCAATTCGAATTGCTTGTTGCAAAATTGGGAACCCCCATCACTAATAATAGCTCTAGGTACCCCGAATCGAGTGAAAATATGCTTCTTAAGGAAGGAAACCACGACTTTAGCATCATTAGTTGGTAATACATTAGCCTCGACCCATTTAGAAACATAGTCGACTGCCACAAATATATACTGATTTGAGAAAGATGATGGGAATGGTCCCATAAAGTCTATGCCTCAAACATAAAAAATTTCTACTTCCAAAATGTTGTTTAAAGGCATTTCATTCTTCCTTGAAATGTTTCCTACTCGTTGGCATTTGTCACACCGCTCGATAAATCTATGAGCATCCTTAAAAAGAGTAGGCCAATAGAAACCACTTTGTAGTACCTTAGCAGTTGTCCTTTCCCCACTGAAGTGTCCTCCATAGTCTGATCTATGGCAGTGTCAGAAATAGTAGTGGTTCATCCCAGAAATAGAATTTCACATCATGTAAAAAAAAATATCTTTGTGGAAAATTGAGATCATGAGGGATTATCCCTGCTGCTTTAAAATTAGCGAAATCAGTAAAACATGACAGTGAAGCTACTACTAAAAGTTTCTCATCTAGGAACTCTTCTACTTCTAGGTTAGCCTTTTCGCTTTTTATTCTTGAAAGGTGGTCAACTACCACATTTTTGTTTCCCTTGTTTATCTCTAATTTCCAGATCAAACTCTTGTAGTAGGAGAATCCAACTAATCAATCCCGGCTTAGCATCCTGGTTAGCAAACAAATACCTCAAAACAGCATGATCAATGTAAACAATAACCTTAGACCTAACAAGATAGGATCTAAATTTATCAAATGCAAATACCACAACAAGTAATTCTTTTTCAGTTGTGGCATAATTCTTTTGGGCTTCATTCAACACACGACTAGCATAATATATCACATGAAACATTTTCTCTTTTCTTTGTCCTAATACAGCACCCACAACCACATCACTAGCATCACACATTATTTCAAATGGTAGTAACCAGCCAGGTGCCATAATTATAGGAGTAGGGACGAGTTGTATTTTTATGATATTGAATGCTTGCAAACATGTATCATCAAACACAAAGGGGTTTCTTTTTCAAGCAAGTTTGTTATAGGCTTAACTATTTTGAAAAATTCTTGATAATCTGCCTATAAAAACGTGCATGACCAAGAAAACTTCTTACCCCTTTTACATTCATTGGGAAGGTAGTTTTTCAATCACTTCCACTTTTGCTCTGTCCACTTCAATCCTTTCAGTAGATATCTTATGCCCTAAGACTATACCTTCCCTTACCATAAAGTGACATTTCTACCAGTTTAAGACTAGATTAGTTTCCTTACATCTTTTCAGCACTAAGGTCAGGTTAGTTAGACAAGAATCAAATGAAGATCCAAATACAGAAAAATCGTCCATGAAAATTTCAATGCACTTTTCAATTAGATAAAAAAAGATAGAAAACATACACCTTTGAAATGTGGCAGGTGCATTACAGAGTCCAAATAACATCCTTCTGTAAGAGAAAACTCCATAAGGGCATATGAATGCTGTTTTTTCTCGATCTGCTGGGGCCAATGCTATCTGGTTGTAACCAGAATAACCATCTAGAAAACAGTAGTACTCATGCCCAGTTAACTTTTCTAGCATATGATCCATAAAGGGTAGTGAAAAATGGTCCATCTGCATAGCTTGATTCAGTCTTCTGTAGTCAATGCATACACGCCACCTTGTGACCTTTCTAGTAGGAATGAGTTCATTATTTTCATTGTGCATAACTGTCAGGCCTCCTTTCTTAGGTACCACTTGCACAGGGCTGACCCACTCACTGTCAGAAATCGGGTAGATAATCTCAGCATCTAGTAACTTAATGATCTCCTTTCTTACCACCTCTTTCATAGTGGGGTTGAGTCTTCTTTATGGTTGGCGCACAGTCTTGAAGTTCTCCTCCAAACAGATTTTATGCATGCAGATAGTGGAACTAATACCTTTTAGACCATATATAATCCATCTTATAGCATATTTATGCTCTCTCAGCACTCTCAACAGTTTTTCTTCCACATTATCACTGGTTTAAGCTTCTGTTCATATAAAAATCTGTATTTAAGGTGGGATGGTAGTTGTTTTAGTTCTATTCTTGAGGTGTCTTCCACTGCATCTTCACCTTGGTGTAAATCTTCCACCCCTTTAGTTGAACTGAATAAGGGTTTCAGTGCTTCTAATTGTTGGACGCATTGTACCACTTCTTCACTTAACCCTTCACTCAACTGCTTTATATCTAGTCCCTTTATTAAAGCTACTCCTAATGTATTTCTTCTCAATTGATCCATCATCTTTTCTAGTACCAGCATATCAATTATATCAACTCTGAAACAATCTTCCTTATCTCTCATCTGCTTCATAACCTTATTTTTGGAAAAAATAATCTTTTCATCACCCACTCTCAACATCAACTCACTTTGTTGCACGTCTATTAATGCTCTCCCTGTAGCTAAGAATGGTCTTCCAATATAATTGGGACTTTTGTGTCTTCCTCCATATCCAACACCACAAAATCAGTTGGAAAAATGAACTTATTTACTTTCACTAAGACATCATCTACCACTCCATAAGGATAGGTCACTAAACGATCAACCAATTGTAGAGTGATCCCGGTCGGTTTCACTTCTCCAATCTCCAGCCTCTTGAAAATGGATAATGACATCAAATTGATGTTTGCTCCAAGGTCACATAATGTTGTACTCACCATTAAATTTCTGATTTCACATGGAGTGACAAAGCTTCCCGGGTCTTTCAACTTTGGGAGTAACTTTTGCTGAATTATGTCACTGCACTCCTCCATCAGCATTATGGTTTCATTTTCTTGCATTTTCCATTTTCTAGACAGCAAATCCTTCTTGAATTTTGCATAGCCCAACATTTGTTCCAGTGCCTCAGCAAATGTCTGGAGCTTTTTAAAAACATCAAGAAATCGTACAAATTGTTTTTCTTATTCTTTCTTCTTTAATCTTTGAGGGAATGATACAGTGTGTATAAATTCTTTTATCTTGTCACTCTCACCCTTTTTTTCTTCTCTTCTTCTTTTTCTTGCTCACCATTCCACTCGGTTTTCTCTTTTTCTCTTTCTTTTTCACTCTCACTCTCTTTCTGCTCTACAATTTCTGTTTTCTCTTGCTTTTTCTCTTCTGCAACCACACTTTTTTTTCATTAGCTATTACCTTTCCACTCCTTAGTTGTATGGCTTTACAGTGTTCTTTTGGGTTCACTACAGTGTCACTGGGAAATGTACCAGGGGTTCTTTATGATAGTCGTCTTGATATCTGCCCAATTTGGGTTTCAAGATTTTTTATTGAAGCTTCCTAGTTCTTGAAATTTGTTATGGTTTCACTCATGAAGTGAGAAGTTTGTTCCACAAAGCTAGATGTTTGCATAGATCATTTCTCTAAAGCACTTTCCAAAGTAGACATTTTGGTCCCTTGAAAGCTGGTTTGTGCTTGATTGTTAGGAACCGTTGGATATTGATATGGGGGTCTTGGCTGTCCAGGCTGGACTGGATTACCCCATTGCCTACTTGGCTGATTTCTCCAATTTGAATTATAATTATTGAACTGACTGTGTTGTTGCTGTTGTACAACATTTGCATGTACTTCCTGTTGATTAATTTGATAATTACCATCTTGATGCATCCCTCCACAAAAATCACATACCAAAGGTGGTATGTTAACAACTTTAACTTGCATACTCCCTAACTGTTGAGTCAGTCTGTGATTTGTTGGGTTAATATCTTATTTTGAGCTAAAATGACATCCAAAGTACTAATTTCCAGCATTCCAACTTTTCTATTTTTACTATCAAACTGCATGTGTACTGTATTATTTGCCATTAATTCTAGGGTCTCTAAGGCTTCCTCTGGTGTTTTCAGATTGAATGATCTTCCACTGACAGTATCCAACATTGCTTTAAAGGTAGATAAAGGGCATTGTAAAAAAATCTGCACCTGCAATCAATCTGGTAGTGCATGATGAGGACATCTTCTTGTCAACTCCTTGAACCTCTCCCACGCCTCATACAAAGATTCAGAGTCCTGTTGCATAAAGTTGGTGATCTCATTCCTCATTCTCAATGACTTTGCTGGAGGGAAGTACTTGTTTACAAATTTGGTAGCTAAATCATCCCAAGTAGTGATGCTTACTTGAGGTTGTGATTGGAGTCAACATTTGACTTTGTCTCGTAATGAAAAGGAAAAAAGCCTCAAGTGAACTACATCATCAATGGTTCCATTAATTTTCAACACATGTCACATATAGCCAAAAAATTATCTAGGTGAAAATTTGGATCCTCCGAAAGTACACCTCCAAATTAATTTTGTTGTATGACCTGCAATGCAACTGAGAAGATTTAATTTCAAATTTATTTGGGGTCTAACAAAACTAAAGAAAAACCACTGTTCCGTGTACGCTGCTGTTTTTCTAAGCTGCCTCCGCTTTTTTACTCTCCTTTTTCTTACCTCCATGTCAGCCCTTTCTTTCCTAGCTACTCCTACCTTTAACTGTTTCCAGCCCAAACAAAAAGGATTCCACTCCCAGCTTGTGTCAGCCACGCACGGTCCACAAAAATAATTCTAAATGCACCTATTTTTTCAACCATAAGTTAAATGCATCATGAAAACATTATTCAAATGTTATAAGAATATGACCTAATTTAATCTATAAATGTGAGGTAAAATAAATATACATCACCTTACTCAATCACAGCATTGATGTTTTAATGAGAGCACTATTATTCATTTACGATTTAGGGTTTAGAATTTTGAAGGAATAGAAATTGGGTTGGAATGCTAGACTCTTGACTGTGGCTTATTCGGTATGTATGCATGCTTGCTTTTCTTTCTATATTTTTTATTTAGACTTGCATCCTTTGTGTTCGACAGACAGCCACATCAATCCACACTTTAAAAATAATCAGATCAATCACATGTTCAGTTTGCCCTTTTCTAAATATTTTACCATTCCTATATCCACACTCCACCCTAGCCTTCTCCTATTGTTCCTCTAGCCACTACAGTGATGCAAGAATTGAATCTCGTTTCCTTGGCATGACGATACATTCATGCCTAACCAACTCTATAGCTCATTTCATATTGGTCCTCACACCCTCTGTTCTTTGCATTGACTTTAATGATCTGCCACCGAATATGTGAATTACTGATGTAGGGTTTAGTGATTTCTGGAATCATGGTGGCTGTTATCTCATGGTGTCTACAGACGAGAGGTCCATTATTTGTATCTATTTTTAGCCCTCTAATGCTTGTGGTTGGACGAGAAGCTATACGTTGGAAGGTACATACATATATCTGCCTTAATTATTATTATTGTGTTGGCTTCATTTTTGTGAGAATTAAGGCTTATGTAATAATAATACACATGGACCCTCTATTCGTTATTCACTACAAAATGAATTTTATATTCGACTAAACGTAGTTGAATCACATATATGGTTAACTATTTTCTCTGCTGCTATGTGACACAGACTACAAGAACGTTAGTACCAGCACTGCATACATGTAAATCTCACTAAAACCCTTTTTTTTTTCTTTCCTTTCAACTTAATTAGATAGGCTAGTGTGAAGTGGATCAGATGTTTTTTTTTTCTTCTTTTGGTTGAAATTTGTAGGCACATACATGTTAATGGTTTGCTTTAACAAATTATCAACTTCTGTTAACTTCTGCATCATTGGATCAATGTTGATTATTTGCGGATTGTACTGGGTTCTATGGGGTAAAAAAGAAGAAATTAGGAGAAATCAATCAGTTCCATCATAAAGCACTCATAAATCTGATAGTTGAAATAATGGTCAAGCCTAGAGTAGAAGATAAGAGCAACAATAGAGACTGCGTGTAGACACTGTATGTTGTTAGAAAATAGAACTACTTTTATTATTATGGAAGTCATGCTTCAAGGAATTGGTGTTGCAATACCTAGCTTGAACGAGGTACTTCGGCTTGAAATGCATTTTACGTTGATTGAATAAAGACATGTATGTATAAGGAATAAAGAATGTATAAGAAATTTGTTGAGAGTTTGATTTGAGACATGAAATCCAAATGGGAATAAGATGTGACAGACAAGGATGTTGAAGTAACTGAGTATGGATAGGAGAATTGCTTTGTTCTTTTGGTTGCATAATTGGAAAACAATGCTGTACAATACCTACCATCAATGTGCTGATTGAATAAATTCAGTACTCCAATTCATGACAATAGCGAAATCACATCAATGCAACAAGAAGGGAACAGTGATCTTCATAATTCATTTGGAAAAGATAGTATTCATTCTGTACTATTTTCTTGTAAATAGCATCCTAGATCAAATAAAGAAAAACCAATAACCCAGTTAAAAACAAGAATAATTTAAGAAAACATGGAAGACTGATATCAAATTACACATCCTTTCTCTTGGCTCCGGTATGATATAATAGTATCAATTCTCAATAATTTTTTATATTAGGAAACTTATTAGAAACACCCAAAAAATTCATACATCATAATGATAATTTTTTAAAATATTAAATAATAATGAAATGACATTTAAAAAAAATAAAAAATAATCCAATAATGGGTGCTATACATGTGTCCTTTAAATTGAAAGTGTCCATTTATTACTATTTATATATATATATATATATATATATATATATATATATATATATATATATATATATATATATATATATATTTAGACACTCGCTTACATGACTTTTTTTTTTATTATTTATAGCTGAGATGGTAAGTCAAATTGAAAATAAATAAATAAATAAATAATTAAAATAATAAAGAAGGAACTCCAAACTTCATTTATAAGAGAACGAAATTGAAATTGAAATTGAAAACGCAGAAAGAAAATTGTTATCGGATAGACCACCCTCTACCTTCCATTTGGTTACTGGAGAGACAATGAGAGGATATTTTCCACCCTCCATCATTTTCACGGTTTTAGGGACATCATGGTTGTCGTAGATAGAAGAAGTTAGTCACATTATTTAACGTACGTCGTGCCTGCCTTGGCTTGGGTCGCACTCCCTTTATTCTCGGTAAGTGTTAATCGTGTTCCTTTATTTTCTATGATTCAGGGTGCAATGATTTTTGTTATGATTGTATAACTTATATTTAGAGTTGTACTTTTTTTGTTCAATGTTGAGTGTGCCCATTGCTTAGGTCGGAGAGAAAATCGGAGTTGTAAAAAGGAATTCTTGTTAGTGGGTTTGTCAAATATATGCCACTTGATGAAATGCAGGTTTTTGTCTAACCAAAATCAATCTAACAAGTTTTGCAGTATTGTTTGAGCTAATGGTTAATTAATCCTATTAACTTTTTTTTAGAACCAAAAGGTCTATGTTCTTGCTGCTTTGAATGATGGTAATTCCAAGGTAAGAAAAAAATACAATAATAAGCTGTTCTATTTTTACCGCACTTTAAATTATATTGTTATTGTAGTTTTAGTAAAGTCAATCTTATGATTATAAGAATTAGTCCGATTGTGTGTGTGATTTAATTAATACACTTCTCCATCATTAATATATATAATGGATCATTTCATCTACTTTACTATTTATGTGAAGGATTAACTAAATTTTTGAATTGTGTTATTTTACTTTCTTCTGCATATGGGACATTGAACCAATTCACACCAAAATGTTATCCTATGCTAACATGTGTGAAAGCATGATCATTAAGACTTAAATAAGAACATTTATTGCATGAATTGGCTACTTAATCACCTAAACTTAATTTTCCCACATATTCACTTGCTTAACCATTTATGTGAAGAATTAATTAAGTATTTGTATTATGTTAACCAACTTTTGTTTGCAGATAAAATACTTAATCAAATCACACCAAAGTGTTATCTCACATCCACATATGTTAGAACATGGTTATTAAGGCTTGAATTAATGTATGTGTTGCATGTAATAATTATTCAATTTAAACGTAAATTTTTCACATGTCCACCAACTTAATCATTCATGTGAAAGATTAATTGGATTTTTGAAATATGTTAACCAATTTTCTTTCCCAACAAATACTTATGCCAAATAATTTGTTACAAATGCTACATAAATATTACAAAGAGTATGACAAAACTGCACTAAAACAATGCAGGGAAACTCTTGTTAAACCCTTTTTTTTTCATTGATCTTAGCTTTGAACCTCCCACACTACACCTTGCTAAAAATTCTCTTGGTTGTGATGTAACAACACTTATCGGATACTCTGACATCAAGTGGAACTCAATATTAGCCCAACAATATAAAACATCTTTTCTTGGATCATGTCTTTTGCACCTATGTCTCTTTCCTCAGCTAATTGGAATATTAGTAGTCTGCATGTAAAACTAAAAGTTTTCAATAGTAGTTAAAGACTTAAATTTATTTCAAAATCCAACTTAGGGGAACGTATTAGAAATAACATATTTAGCATCATTTAGAATGATTTCAAAAAATGTTGAAAACACAATAGTCAGAGTATGTACCACTAGGTAAGAATAAGAGTTCTTTAACAATCAAAAGTTTTACAAATATAATTGGCAGTCATTTCGAAAACAGATTAAACTCCAAACCAATTAAGCAGTTTTTCAACAATTGAGAACCTGGGAGCAAGATTCTAAGTTCTTAATGCCAAAAGATAACAGCCCAAGTTGCCAACAACATTTTCGTATAATTTAGACTTTATGTATATATTTGGACCATATTACCATAATAGACTGGTTTCACGTATAGAAAAAGAAAATGTAATAAATACATAATGGAACAAAAAATGGTTATACATAGTTTGTAAGAAGTAATGGACAGGATTAAAAGGAATAAAATATGCCTCAATTACTTGAGACTAAATTCTGCTTACAAAACATTATACTTTAAAACTACCCTCTCTCTTGGCTAGCTTCTCCCTTATATAATCATGGCCGAAAGGGTTGACCAATTGACAAATTAATTCATTAATCAACAAACAAATCTTATCAGCCTGACACACAAATGTTATAATTGAAGAAAGAGTCATAGGTTGACTAACTACTTATTAATCCATATACAAATTTTATTAGTTTTTATGAGTGATGGAAAGGGTCAAGGTAAAAGTAATTAATAACAGTTGCATAATAATTTGGTTGACTAAAAAGAATAGCATACAAAGCTTTTTATCAAAATATACTTATTCCAAACATAGTAATGGTTAACTCCTATAAATTGAAGAGCTTGATGTTCTAGTGGGGAAAGGAGGAATGCATGGAAATATTTTTAGGATTAAGTCACCAATGTTTTTCACAAAAAATGATGCGCAAAGTGGAAATTCTTGTAACCAATTGACATTATAAATTGAATAAACAATTGACATTATAATTTGAACGTGAATAAGTGGGTGGGTATGTTAATAAAATATAAACATAAACTTAAGCATTTATTCTATAACAAATGAAATTTATGATAATTATTTAGCACTGTCACTGTCATAACTTTTAGGAAACAAGTAATACAAATATATTGGGTTATAAACAATAAAATTAGAGTAGAGAAAATGAGTACCATAGAGAATCATCTTATAGTTCATTGAACAAATATATAACAAGATAGTAAAAGCTTTCTACCAAAACCAATCACAACTAACTTATATTTCTAAGAAAGTACTTTAAACCCAATAGTTATTATGCCTTAACTTCACCACCATCAACATTGTCTTAACTGAAATTAATACTAGGATCTCGCCCAGAATAGTGGATCCCGCAAAGGCCGCAACCACAAGCATTAGAGGGCTAAAAACGGATACAAACAATGGGCCTCGGCATACTTTCTTGTATCTTAGTTTTCTTACCCAACAATAACATCAACCATCACTCCAGAAACCACCATGCCCTACATCAGTAAATCTTTTTTTCATTTTCGAAACAACATTGTTTAGTTTGAACGTTAGATGGAAGATATAAGTGTAAATAAAATATAGGTGAATAGAAAGATAGGGTTACACACACCCCAAAAGCCACCGCCAATAGTCTTACATTCCAACCCAATATCCACTCGCTCAAATCCCTTTCAACGCAAAAAGCAAATGATACGGATAACGGTGCCCCCATTAAGGACATCAACGCTGTAGCGATAAGCCACAATGAAACTGTTTCTGGTGGAATTTCGATCGATTTCGATTCTAAGGGTGTTTTGGTCCTAATCAAAATTCTACCACGTAAGTTCTTTTTACTTAGGCTAGCAATTTGATTTTCAATCGAAAACATGCATGAGAATCGAAAATCACAATATATCGGAAAAGCTATTTTTGGTATTTTGTATTTAAAGTACTGAAAGCAGTAAAACTATCGAATCGAAAAACAGAACGTTAAATTGCGAAGAAACGTAAATTACGAGAACCCCAAGTTTGCAATAATTGTAAATGACAAGGAATCGGAAATGACGGAAATGTAAATGGCAGGAAGTTAAGTTTGCATGAAAAACTAAATGACGGGAAATCGAAACGTACAGAAAATATAAATAACTGGAAACTTAAACGCAGAAACTTAAATTTTCATTGAATTGAAATGACAAGGAATCGAAAGTACAGAAACATAAAACTGCTGAATTTAAATTGCATCAAAGTAAATTACCAAGGAAAATACAGAAAACGGTAAATGAACTCGGTGAGCATGGAAATCCAGATTGCCAGAAGCTTCATGGTGTTCGTCATTTTCCGGTAGACTTTCTCACTACTGATTCTGTTTTCTGCCAATTTCTGCTCGCCCCCCACTCCTTTTTTCCTCTTCTTCCCCTTTGCTCTATTTATAGGGCCTCCTTTAAGCCTTCCAGGAACAGTTAATAAGACTGCTACCACGTTCTTTCGTGCATGACGGTTTCTTTTTCTACAGTTTCCCACGTTCTCACGATCATCGACTCCTTCCATGGTCTCAGAACTGCTTTCTATACGTGCGTTTGACTTATTCTTCTCTGTGGTTTGTCCAGAGTTTCGATGTCCATGTTCCCTTCGCATTCGATGATATCGAACACTTTGCATTGCTTTGGGTTTAACCTCAACATCATATGATTCTAGTTTCTTAGTTTTTTATTCGACAACAAGCATTTGGTTATCATTCACCCAATTTTCGATTATGCCTCTCGATGTTATGTACTACGTACTTCTAATTGGACATCGAATGATTTCTTTTGTCTATCTTACCGATTTATCAATCGATCATATTTCTCGATTCCACAATAACAAAATGCCCCCTTGAAAGAATATGAATGATTTCAGTTTATATTCTTTCAATATTCCCGCCTTAATGTTTGGAAGCCTAAGGAACTTAGGGTTTAGGTTTTCTGGGATTCTAGAGTTAAAAGGGTTTTAGGTTTTCCTTTCCGTTTTACGTCGCCATCATATCAGTCTGTTGCTTTTTACAGTACGCTACATTTATTACCTTTCGCGTCTGTCGTTCCAGCTCCCTAGGCGATTTTCTCCTTAACCTCTCCCTTGGTTTTTTACTTTGATTTTTTATGCGAACTTTTACCCTCTGCTTGCACCTTCATCGTCTTCCTTGAGCTGTTGTCTTCCTCCTTGCTACCTCATTCGTTAACCCTTCTCTTTCTGTTTTCCTAAGCTCACTAAGATGGCCACCTCGTCAAAATCTTCTGACTTTTCCGTTCCACCCCTTTCCTCATTGCCTTCTAACCTGTTGGAGATTAACAACCAGAGGTTCGCTCCAGTCCCTTTGATGGAGGAGGCTTCCCGCAAAATTGCTGAAACGCAGGTACTTATTCCTTACACTGCTGAGGGGGTTAATTTTGCTTTTGGGGGTCCTCTTCGTCCTATAGATGACATTTTCTCCTCTCTCAACCTCTCGATTAGTCTGGCTCTTATTCATCATCCTGAAGTTAGGGTTGATTTTTTGAATCTTACCTCTAAAGTATATAGAACAGGCCCTCCTTCCAAAAAACCTTCCTTCATTAGGTGG